CGTGCCTTCTGTCGTGCGCGAGGCATCCGCCAGACCTTCACGCTTCCGAACTCACCGCAGCAAAATGGGATTGCAGAGCGCCGCATTGGCATGGTCATGGACGTCGCTCGTACGTCTATGATGCATGCGGCTGCCCCACATTTTCTGTGGCCGTTTGCGGTCAGGTACGCGGCGCATCAGATCAACCTCCACCCCAGGGTCTCCAGGCCGGAGACCTCCCCAGCCCTGCTGTGGACGGGGAAGGTTGGCGATGCGTCGGCGTTCCGGGTCTGGGGATCTCGGGCGTTTGTCCGCGACTTGTCTGCGGACAAGCTGTCCCCTCGCGCTGCTCCTTGCATCTTCCTGGGGTTCCCCCCCGACGCCCCTGGGTGGCAGTTCTACCACCCCACCTCTCGACGTGTTCTGTCCTCCCAGGACGTCACGTTCGATGAGTCGGTACCCTACTACCGCCTCTTCCCCTACCGCACTCCTTCCCTTCCCCTGCCCCCGCTCTTCTTGGTACCAGGTCCCCCCCCGGTAGACCCCCTCCTCCCTCAGGGTCCTGCCCCTTCAGGTGTGTCCCAGGTAGACGCGGTCGAGCCTGTCGAGGTCACTGGTGACTCTGGTGCTGCTGCGGGAGCTGAGCCTGGGGATGCTGGGCCTGGGGGTGCGTAGTCTGGGGGTGCTGAGCCTGGAGGTGCTGCGCCTGGGGGTGCTGAGCCTGGGGGTGCTGAGCCTGGAGGTACTGAGCCTGGGGGTGCTGAGCCTGGGGGTGCTGAGCCTGGGGGTGCTGAGACTGGGGGTGCTCCGTCTGGAGGTGTTTTGCCTGAGGGTGCTGAGCCTGGAGGTTCTCCGCCTGGAGGTGCTTCGTCTCGCCGAGAGCCACTCTCCCCACAGGAGCTGCGTGAGTGGTTTGCCCGGCGCTGGAGGCGTGCTGCTGGTGCTGGAGGTTCTTCGGCTGCAGAGGGTGCTGCTGCCGCGCGTCCCGGAGGTGCTCGTGCTGTGGGTGCTGGAGCTGCTGGGCCTGAGGGTTCTCCTGCAGCTGGTACTACTGAGGGTGTTGGCGCTGAGACTACTGCTGGCGGTCCGACTGGCAGTGCTCCTGGTGCTGCTGGGGGTGCTGGAGGTGCTGCTGGAGATGCTACTGGAGCGGGTACTCGTGCTGGGGGTACTGGTGCTGTCCCTGCTGTTTCTGGCGTCGCCACGCGGCCCCGACCGTACTTCGTTCCGCTCCTGCAGCAGGTTCTTGGTCTGACACCTTCTCCTGGTCCTCCTCCTCCTCCCTTAGAGGGTCCACAGCCAGTCCCGTCATAGTCACAGCTACAGCCTGCCTCCCCTTTGCCTGCTCCTTCTCCCTACGCTGGTCCGACTGGAGGTCTTACTAAGCGTCGTGAGCCTGCGTCTCGTCCTGCGTCGCCTGTTCGCACTGCACGCACTAGTGGTCGCGGTTCGCGTCAGCGTCCTCCTCCTGTCCCTGGCACGCACCGGATGTCTCTGCGTCCATCCACTGCTCCTCTGCGTGCCCCTTAGCCTTCTCCTCCTGCTTCCTCTCTTCCTGCTCTTGCCGACCCGGAGTCGGACTCTCTTCGTGCTGCCAGTCCCACTGTCACGCGTCTCCTTGCTACTGCTGTCACTGACCCTTCCTTCGAGTCTTCTACTGCGTCTGCCCTTGTCACTGAGCTTGTCGACTTTGCTGCGCGCTGTCGTCTAGACTACGCTGCTAGTCTTGTCGCTGAGTCTGAATCTGCCTGTCCTCCGTCCGTCGGGGGTGAGTGTGCCCTAGGCACGGACGTCCTTGAGGACAGGCAGGAGGAGTTCCAGTGTCTGGCCGCCGCTTCACCTCATCTCGCGTCTGTACTGCTAGCCCCTGAGGGAGACCCGGATGCACTAGACATCCCGACTCCGCGCTCTTACGCGGAGGCGATAGAGGGTCCCTACTCCTCTCAGTGGCAGGCAGCTATGGATGCAGAGATGGCTTCCTGGAAGTCCACAGGCACCTACGTTGACGCTGTTCCCCCTCCTGGGGCGAACATCGTCAGTGGCATGTGGATCTTCAGGGTGAAGCGGCCGCCGGGCTCTCCGCCTGTCTTCAAGGCGCGTTACGTGGCTCGTGGCTTCAGTCAGCGGCAGGGAGTTGACTACTTTCAGACCTTCTCCCCCACCCCGAAGATGACCACTCTTCGGGTACTGCTGCACGTTGCTGCTCACCGCGACTACGAGCTGCACTCTCTCGACTTCAGCACAGCTTTCTTGCAGGGCAGCCTGCACGAGGAGATCTGGCTGCGTCGCCCACCTGGCTTCACTGGGTCTTTCCCTCCTGGTACCCAGTGGAGTCTCCGGCGTCCAGCCTACGGTCTCCGCCAGGCGCCACGTGAGTGGCACGACACACTGAGGACTACGCTTGCGGCACTTGGGTTTGCTCCTTCTACTGCCGACCCGTCGCTGTTTCTGCGCACCGACACCTCTCTGCCGCCGTTCTACATCCTCGTGTACGTCGACGACTTGGTCTTTGCCACAGCCGACACTGCTGGACTCGCCTACGTGAAGTCCGAGCTGCTGAAGAGACACACGTGCACTGACCTGGGTGAACTGCGCAGCTTCCTTGGCTTGCAGATCACCCGGGATAGAGCACGCCGCACCATTACCCTAACTCAGTCACACATGGTGCAGCAGGTCCTTCAGCGCTTCGGCTTCACGTACTCCTCGCCTCAGGCCACTCCTCTGCCTACTCGCCACTCGCTCTCAGCTCTGCCTTCGGATGAGTCCGTAGAGTCGAGTGGCCCATATGCAGAGCTTGTTGGCTGCCTCATGTACCTGATGACCTGCACACGACCTGACCTTGCATACCCTCTCAGCATTCTCGCACGCTATGTTGCTCCTGGGAGACACCGACCAGAGCACATGGCTGCAGCGAAGAGGGTGTTGCGCTACTTGTGCAGTACATCGGGCATGGGGCTAGTGCTTGGAGGGCGCAGTCCAGTGGTCCTCACTGGGCACGCGGACGCTTCTTGGGCTGACGACCAGGCTACGCAGCGGTCGTCACAGGGTTACTCCTTCGGCCTTGGTTCCGGCTCTGTTTCGTGGCGGGCTACTCGCTCGTCTTCTGTTCTCGGCTCCAGTTGTGAGGCTGAGATCTACGCCGGGGCTATGGCTGCACAGGAGTTACGCTGGCTCACCTACCTGCTGACCGACCTTGGAGAGCCGCCTCGTTCTCCTCCAGTCCTGTACGTAGACAACAAGGCCATGCTGGCCTTGTGTCGAGAACAGCGACTGGAGCACAGGACAAAGCACTTTGCTCTCCGCTACTTTCTTGCTCGTGAGCTACAGCAGCGTGGACAGTTGCGACTTGCGTACGTGGCCTCTGAGGCCAACACTGCTGATGTCTTCACCAAGGCACTTGCGCCTTGTGATCATCAGCGTTGCTGCACGCAGCTGGGTCTTGTGCCTGTCTAGCCTCACTTGCTCACTTCTTGACCTTGTTTGTACCTTCACCTATATATACTCTTGTTCTTGCTTGCTTGACTCCTGTATATCTCTATATATGATCTTGCATGTGAACTGGCCTTGTGGCCTTTGAACTTGTGCTCGGAATGTGTGGTGACTTTGTGATCCACCCTGAGCTTTGCTTTGCTTTGCTTGACTGGTCTTGTGACCCCTTGTTCTCCCCCACTTTGCCTATGGGGGTGAGTCAGAACATTATAGCTTACTTATTTGTGTAGGCTATAGTGGGGTATCCTATAGGGGGTACAACCCAATTAGGGTTTCCTATTTGTACTCACTTCGTTCATAGTCAATTCATTCTCGTTCTTTCTTTCACAGGCCCCCGGATTCGTTTTGAGGTAGTCTGACGCATCAGAGTACACCTCTCTTCCTAGTCTGGCTATCAGAGTTACCTAATTTTTTTAGTCTGAAAATTCAGACAAGCACAATTTTTTTTGTCTGAACTGTCAGGCTTACTCCAATTTTTAAGATGTTCATGCAGTTTCATAATAGCATAGTTATAATATCATTGAAGTTGATTACAGCCTACCAACGCATCAGGCAACGTGCTCGTGCATCGTCACTGCTCATGTCGTCGACGTTCTGGTGTTTTTTTCACGTGCAGCGCATGGTTGTTTCTGCTGATCTCATTTCGTTTTATCGAGTGTGTGATTACCGTTCTGTACCCATTTTCTCGCCTGTGTGCGTTTCTAGCGATGCGATCGTTCACCCAATCTGTATCAGGTGGGCCAAGTGCCACGCAGCTGAGCTGTCAGCAGGCAGAAACTGTTGCTTGGCGTGGCGTGAGAGCATCAGGTAGTGCCACACGAAACTTTCACTACGAATCAGTATCTTCGCAATTTCACAGGAATGCCGCCTGCAGATGTTTTTACAGCGAATCAGCATCAAAGTCTTCTATTCTTTACAATACATTAGCTATAACTTGCATGCGACGAAATTTTGTCTTAAAAATCCCATAATCACGCAAACATTTCCTCAGCGTAACCAGAAGATATTCTCGACGAATGAGATATTCGGATGTCCCGCTATTGAAGTGTGCGTTGCTCACGTCCTGGCACTCCACTACCATCTCGGAAGTGGGCATATTGAAAGGAAACTTCCAGGAAACTTTGCTTCGATAAGCGCGCAGAGTGTACCCCTGATACAAGTCTGAGGCTCAGTCTACACTAAAAAAAATAGGCTGAAATTTCAGACAACTCATAAAAAAAACCTCTGAAGAATCAGACAAGGTACATAAAAAAAATCTTAGACTAAGTACAAAAAAAAATTCTGAACGGACTCTGAATCAGACTTTAAAGTCTGATATCTAGGGCACTGGTACGAATATGCGTACGAACATGCCTACAAAAAAGCTTATGTGACACTATTCAATTTATTTAGTCTCAGCCACGAAACTGAATGTGCTGGAGCAGTTTACAAGATGTACAGAGCTAACATTTCAAGCATAAACATTGTACAGACACAGCCACTATCCTTCAACGTAAGGAACACGTAGAAATGCCAATCAAGCTATACCTGTACTATCGAAGGTTTTTTCGTGACTTTCTTACCCCTGTATTCCTCCCAGGCGGTAGCTTGGGTGATTTTCTGCTTCCCCCTTTGCCCTTCCCCTTGTCCTTTCCCTTACCCTTCTCTGCCTCTCTCCTCGCCTTCTCAGCTTCCTCTCTTTTCGCCTTCTCCTCAGCTTCCCTTGCCTTTCTCTCCTCTTCCCCCCTCTTTCTTTTCTCTGCAGTCTCCTCCTTTTCCCTCGCTTTGCACTTTGCAAGCTGCTTTCGCTCCTCCCACTCTCTTGCCTTCTTCTCTTTCTCTGTCTCCCTCTTAACCCCATTTGCTTCCCCCCCTTGCTTCTCTCCACTGGCACTTCCCCCTGTCTTCTCCCCTCCCATCTCCCCTCCCTTCTCCCCTCTGTTCTCCCCTCCCTTCTCCCCTCCCTTCTCCCCTCCCTTCTCCCCTCCCTTCTCCCCTCCCTTCTCCCCTCCCTTCTCCCCCCCATTCTCCCCCCCATTCTCCCCTTCCTTCTCAGCTCCCTTCCCCCCTCCCTGCTCTGACTTGTTACCACTATCAGCCCCACCAGCATCTCCTCTATTCTCCGACCCTTTCCGGTTCCGACGGGATGATCCTGGGCGTGAGGCTGACGTGCTGTTTGATGGCGTAACAGGGTTACCACTTTCTGAGGTGGAGTTACCGCTCGCAGTACCATTGTTGGCAGCTGATGAAGTCAAATTTCCAGCTTTCTTTGCAGCAGCAGCTTCGGCAGCAGCAGCAGCGTCTTTCTGAATCTTCGCCCATTCATTCAGAGCTGGGAGCACAGAAAACACCAGGGGACAGGAGCAAATGGAGGGGGGGGGGGGGGGGGTTGGGGAAGGGGGGGAGGGTAAGTCGCCTCAAAGGTCATACATGTCTGCTCGTCCAGAGTTGAGAGCAGCGCAAATATCAACAGACAAGAGCAAGTAAATTACATTGTTGCGTCACCTTTTAAACATTGTAGCAAGCCCTACTCATCCAGAGCTGGACCTTTCCTTACCTGTGCATTGGCTCTTCACCAGGTCTTCACTCATGCTCCTGTTGACACAGTAAGGAACGTTGTCACACAGACGCAGGTGATACGAGTCACGACAATTCTCACTCCACCTCTCACAGAATCCAAAGTCTTCGTCATGCAACCATTCCCTGCTGCTGCTGCCGCTGCTGCTGCCATTCCCACCAGCTGACGTGGCAGAGACGTGTGCTGATGCGGGGTCCGTGCTGACGTGGCAGTCGATAACACCGTCGCAGAAGCGGAACCTATCCAAGCACTGAACGCCGTTGGGACAATTCTTGTAACCCAATTGGTACTCAAACGTCCGGCACACCTCGGGATCCTCATCATCAGCATAAGCAGCTCCGTTATTAGCAGCACTGCCGCTTCTACCACTAAAATTGGCATAATCAATGCAGTCGTTGACTCCATCGCACCACTGTTCCAATGGCAGGCACAGACCAGTAGAAGGGCACTGCTTGGTGGGTGGCCATGCTGACGGATCACAGACAAATGAGCGGCAGAAAGAAGGGTCCTCATCGGCTGTGTAAGGCGGTAGGGCAGGTCCTGTAACCACAGGTGAACCGCCACTTGTAGCCACCCCTTGCGGAACAGCATCTGAGCCTTCAGTTGCACCATGCATCCCCTGACTTGCCTCATCCGCTGCTCCAGTTAGCGGGCAGTCGTTATTGCCGTTGCACCTCTGAGAATGATGAATGCACAGGGTGCCTCCAACACACTTCCAGAATCCATCTGAGCAACTGTGAGCCAAGCACATTGCCGGATCTTCGTCGTCGCTTAAATCCAGAGCTTCCGTGCCGGAATTGGCCAAAGCATCAGCAGCCGCACCAGCAGCAGCAGCAGCAGTGGTGACCCCTTCATTGTCCCCTAAAGGACAATCGTGGTTGCCATCGCAGACCTGTGAGGCATAAATATACACATCGACCCACACGCCCCCCTCCTCTTCAAACCCCGGAACAATCACTTTCTGCTGCCTCTGACACTTATGTAACCACGGTTTAGTCTTCTTGCAGACATCCGGGTCCTCATCCTCGCCATAAGGCAGGGTCTTGTTCGTTACAGGGTGCTTTAGTAGTGGGCATTCGGACACGCCGTTGCATGCTGGCACACACTTGTTGGTTTCGGTGCAACGAACGTGGCCCGGGTATTGGCAGTCTGGGTTGCAGACCTCGTCTGGGTCGCTATGGGGACCCACGCAGCAAAAGCCCGAGCCCCAGGTGATGTTGCAGGACCAGAGGTCATCACACACAGCCTGGAGGGGAAAGAAGCGGGAGCTGAGGAGAATCATGTGTTGATGTGGGCTTGTTTTTTGAGGCGCCTCAAAAAGAGTTCCCACAGCCTGGCCCACAGTGCTCGTCTGGGTCGCTATCGCGATCCACGCAGCAATAGCCCGAGCCATAAGTGATGTTGCAGGACCAAAGTTCCGCACAATCAGCCTGGAGCGGGACGCGAGGAGAGTTATGTGCATGAAGTGGGCTCGTTTTTTGAGGCGCCTCATAAATAGCCATGGATGATATTGCACGACCAGAGGTCCGCCACACACACAGCCTGGAGAGGCAAGAAGTGGGAAGCGAAGAAAGTCATGTGCATGACGTGGGCTTGGGAGTGAGGGAATGCGCGACCGTCGGGAGGAGAGATTGGAAGAGGAGCGGGTGGGAGTGGAAAGGGTGTGGAGGAGAGATCAAAAGAGAGTGGGAGAGGAGAGAGTGGAAGGAGAGACGGTATCAGAAGAGAGGGCGTGAGCGGAGAGAGCAGTGAGAGAGCTAGAGAGCAGAGGATTGAGAAACACAGTGGGAGAGAGGGAACTTGCCGAAGCAGGAGGATGAGGGTCGCTACTAGGAATGTCACGCAGAGCAGAGGTTACGGCTTACATAGGTATCTTCAGCCCGCACATCCATTCCTCCTGCAGACAGGGCTCGTTCACACCCCGGCAGTATTTTTGAGTCGGCTCAAAACGGAGATTGGGGCTTACATAGGTGTTTTGGTTCTGTCCACACATCCATTCCTCCTGCAAGCAAGGCTCATTCGCACCCCGGCAATACGTGCCCTCAGTAGGGTCATAACACTCCCTCTCACACCCAACGTTGCTGCTGCTGCTGCTGCTGCTGTCGTTGCTACTGTTGCTGTCGTTGCTGCTGCTGCTGTCACTGTTGCTACTGCTATCACTGTTAGTGCTGTTATTGCCGTTGTTGCTGCTGTTGCTGCCGCTGTTGCTCCTGTTGCTGTCAGTGCTGAGGCTGCTCCCAATGCTGCTGGCACTGCTGCTCAATCCGTCGCTGGAGTCTCCTCCTGAAGTGCCGATGTCAGTGCTTGTGTCACCGCTGTTGCTACTGTTACTACTGCTGTTGCTGCTGTTACTACTGCCGCTGTTGCTGCTGTTGATGTCAGTGATGAGGCTGCTCTCAATGCTGCTTTCATTGCTGCTCAAGCCGTCGCTGGCTTCATCTCCTAAAGCGCTGGTGTCACTGCTTGTGTCGCCGCTATCGAAAAAGTCCCAATTAGGATCCTGTGCCGCCACCTTTTGAGGTTAGGGGAGATGCAAGAGTGGGTGGGTGTCGAGGAGGGGGAAGCAAGAGGAGAGAGTGGGTTAAGAGAGCAAGTCAAGTACTATGCTTCCATTGGTGCTGGTGTCACTGCTTGTGTCGCCGCGATCAGCTGCCACCTTGTAAGGTTAGGGGAGAGGCAAGAGTGGGTGCCAGGAGGGGAAACCAAATGATGAAGGGCAAGGTTGCGCTACACGGTGAGGCTGGGAATGGGTGAGAGTGGGGGGGGGGAGAGCGAAGAAGGGAGACGTTGATAGCTGAAGAGATGCCTACTCAGTGGACCTAACATGAGATGCACTGTCTATGGAAAATAGAGGCGGATTGGAGGAAGGCGTCGATAGGGAAGCCGCGCTGGAAAGGGAAATTTCCTGGAGAGGTTATTCAGCGCCGGAAAGGAGGATCAACGGGATGATGAGAATAGTTTCGGGTGCCAGGGAAAGCAGAAAAAATAAAACAAAAAATCCGAATTGGACCAAAATCGCGGAAAAGACCGTCTTTTGTGACCACTGGCTCACTTCCAACAACTTGCGGTCCGATATGACATTTTAACGAATGCCCATTGGGCTTGGTAGACCAGCTACAGCTTTCGGGAAGCGCGTTACCTCGTCATCCAGTGTGGACAGAGCTGACGTCAGCAATGACGCCAGCAGAAGCGCGAGAAGCAGCCACGAAACCGCAGGTAACGACCTGAACGACAACTGTTGCTGTGCCATTAGACTCTGACGGCCACGATCTTTCAGAGATTTGCGTTTTTGTTCCTCTGAATCGTATGGCCCCCTTGAGACCTTCAAATCCGTGTTGAAGCTGGTTCGGTAGATGAAGTCACGGTTTTAGGGTTTCGGGTCTGTTGCTCGCGCCGCGTACGACTGCCACTCAGTAAAGGCTGGAAAAACATCCAGATTTGTAGCATATTCTCGATAATAATAAGGAGCGATAGGCTAAACGAGTAAATGCGGTCTTGCTTGAGATTATAGGGACAAAGGAATCATTGAGAGCAAAAGATCGTAGTATTACTAATACCAGAAGAAGGAAACTGGGATGCCAAAATGGCTCTGCTAGGGGCGGAAGAGGGAGTTGGAAAAGAATCAGATTGCGCGCGAATGTGCCGACGCGCATCACGGTAGATTGCCCTGCCTTGCTGTCAAACTGAGGTTGGTGGTGGCGCGGAATGACGCCCTCTGACTCCCGACGACTGCAGGGGAGGGCAGTCCTGGATGAAAGGGCTCCACCTGAGCGCAACACTCGCAGATATATTTCAGGTGAAACATTGATGCCAGTTTCATGGGGCTTGATGAGGTCGCGCAAGTCAACGCAGGTATGTCATTCGTGCGACAGAAAACGAGTGTGCGAATGTTACGTTGCTTAAGAGTTGTACATGCATTGGTTATGAGTTGTAAGGAAGAATGAAAATGTTGAACTTATAACGAAGCTCTGACTAAATGAACTGACAATGCAATGAAGACCTAGCAATAACACAGGAGGAAATTCCAGGAATTTAGGATAAGAGAAGGTTCGGGGAACTGAATGTATAAGGAGATGCATAAGAATATGCACACAAGAAGGCTGATGTACCACCAATCAGACTATTTAGTTCCAGGGCTAAAAAAACTTGACAGCACCAATGTATAGAGCTAACATAATAAACATCAACATTGTACAGACAGAAAAATAAGGTACAACCTTTGTTTTTATGTATACTTAAGGAAAGCGTAGAAATGCTAATCGAGCTATGCCCTCATCTCATCAAAGGTTTTTTCGTAACTTTCTTACCCCTGTTTTCCTCCCAGGTGGTGGCATAGGTGATTTCCTGCTCCCCCCTTTGCCCCTCCCCTTATCCTTTCCCTTATCCTTTCCCTTATCCTTTGCCTTACCCTTCTCCACCTCTCTCCTCGCCCTCTCAGCTTCCTCCCTCTTCGCCTTCTCCTCTGCCTCCCTCGCCTTCCTCTCCTCTTCCTCCTGCTTTCTCTTCTCTGCAGCCTCATTTTTTGCCTTCTCTTTGCTCTTTGCAAGCTGATTTCGCTCCTCCCACTCTCTTGCCTTCTTCTCTTTCTCTGTCTCCCTCTTCAACCCAATCGCTTCCCCCCCTTGCTTCTCTCCACTGGCAGCCCCCCCTGTCTTCTCCCCACCATTCTCCCCTCCCTTCTTTCTGTCTTTCTGCCCATCCTTCCCCCCTCCCTGGTCTGACTTGTTACCAGCAACAGCTCCACCAGCATCTCCTCTCGACTCCGACCCATTCCTGCTCCTACGAGATGAGCCAGGGCGTGAGACTAACGTGGTGTTCGATGGCGTAACAGCAGCACCGTTCTCTGAGGTGGTGTTTGATGTCCCAGCAGAAGCACCATCCCCTGAGGTGGAGTTTCCACTCCCACCAACGGTGTTGGCAACCTCTGCAGTTAAATTGTCAGCTTTCTTTGGGTCAGCGGCAACTGCAGCTGCAGCTTCTTTCTGTTCCTTTGCCCATTCATCCAGAGCTAGAAGCAATGCAAACACCAGGGAATAAGAGTAAGTGAAGGGGGATTTCTGCGTTGCCTTTGAGAACACATGTGCCAACTGATAAATCACTGGAAGCAGCACAAATACCAGGGGCAAGAGCAAGAGGAGGGGAATTGACTGAAAATGGGAACCTTTTGAGAATTAACCCACCTCTGGCAAAGTAGATAATCAGATAACGAACCGAATATGAACTAATAAACGGAATGTAGAGAGAAAAAAAGGGGGAATTCTAGCTTATCGCAGCCGTTTCTTACCTGTCCACCGACTCTTCACATGTTCCGCACTGTTGGAGTTACACTAGAAATTTCTCAAAAGTTAGCACCTTCTGACCTGCTCAATGGCTCTTCGTGTGTTCCGCACTCTTGGAGTTACATTTGGGAATTCTCAAAGGTAACACTTTCTTACCAGTGCACTGGCTCTTCGCCAAATCCTTACTCATGCTCCCGTTGACACAGTAAGGGTTGTTGTCGCATCGACTCATGTAGGACCACCGTGAACAATGGATCTCGCTCCAGCTCTCACAGAATTCGTAATCTTCGTCATGCAGCCACTGCCTGCTGCTGTTGCTGCTGCTGCTGCTTTCGCTGCTGCCAACCACACCACCTGACGTGGCAGAGGCTACTGCTGATGTGGAGTCTGTGCTGACGTGGCAGTCGATGACACCGTCGCAGAATCGGGTCTTTTCCACGCACTGAACGCCGTTGGGACACTTCTTGTAACC